TATATATATATATTATATAATATATATTTGTATAATATGGATAACACTCAAAGAGTGGTCTTTTACACTCGTTTTTGGTAACATGATGACTTTGTACAACATTCATATAATTCTAAGTTCTGTTTGTCTTGAAATGCATGAATAGATGAGAATAATTTAGAAAATGCGAGAGGAATTGAAACCTACATCTCAGGAATAATTCCAGTTCCATATGTGGTGGCAATGATTGAAATAGCATTGAAGTTTCCGAAGAGGTCTCTTCAGGAATGGAAGGATGGAATTTGAACCAAAACCAGCATCAATATCCCAAAAATGGTGACAAGTTGTATTGCTGCAATGCTTCTTTTGAACTAGTTGGCAAGTATAAATACTCCCATAAGACAATACTAGAGAGACGATAAAGGAAATATCAGAACATATAAATATGTTAGATAGAACAAACAAACTTGTTTATCATCTAAGATGAAAATCAGGGTTCAGCTGATGTTGTCTTTATAAGATGATAAAAACTACGGATAGATATTTGCTTGAGTGTTCGTTCCTCGTGTATATTAATATATTATAAGTTCTAGTATCTTATTTCTACTTTGTCTTCGCCTATTGCAGAACTTAATGAAAGTAGACAAAAGTTCTTTGTATAACTAAGTACTTTATATAAATATGTATATACATATATATATATATATATATATATATTGAGAATATAAAACCAAGTATATTTTAGGAAAGCCTATAAATGGTAAATGAATCTAACTAATTACATTAAAGGCTTTACTCTCCAAGAAGAATGCAAGCTATAATAACGCAACCGTAGCATAACCCAGATTGAATTGGACCAGCAAAATATCTTTCCCCATCCTAGTACTGTATATACATATAAATGATTATCTCTATGTATACTTAGAAACTGCTTGAAAAATTTTGAAACCGTACGAAATGATCACTTAAAAGTAGTCCCAAAGAGGCTACTCATCTCCCCACTCAGTCTTGCTTACTAGTTTGGACAATTAACAAAAATCCTACACATTTTTAAAAATGGCATCAGTACACATGTGGATGCACCAAAGACACACCAAAGATATCTGTGACAATTTCCCGGAAGTGCAACCGACGCCTTTCGAGCAGCGCGTGTGCTGCTCTAGAATCAATCACAATAAATTTTAAATTTTAAAAATCAGAATTATGAATTATAATTTTAAATGCATGAACAAAACGTCTTAGTACTAAGCTTATTTAATAAAATATTATCTATAAATATTGCTGTAGATACTAATTTGTTAGTTGTTACTATGTATATAGTATACCTTTGGATTTGAGCACAAAAAGAACTCCATCATCAGGTTTCTTCTGAATGTTAGCTTTATTATTAATATGACATTCCTTTTCTGTGGTTGTTACTTCCATCACTAATTTGGGATTACTTCCATCAATATGATCTTCCTTTTAAAATTTTGTTCGAGTATAACACAGTCCACGATTAAAGATGAATTGTATTTTAAAATACAAAAATACAAGCGCTAATACTTATACAAATGACCTCGCAAGCCGGCCTCTTAGGCTCTTACGACGGCCCACAAATTCAAGTCTACTACAAATTTACAATTAAACAAATCTCGGGAAATATAGGAAAAAAGAAAGTGAAAAGCAAGTGAAAATTTGATTGGCCGATGATGTTGGCAAAAAAAAAAAAAAAAAAGGGTCCTCACTCCTCCCTTCCAGAGAATTTGGTGCGACAGAAGCTACATACTTGTCCCATAAAAAACGGAGACGCCCGCAAATCCAAACATCACGAAACCGCCAATTTCTCATTCTCTCACAGTCTCTTGAGCAAATGCTCCCATTTCTTCTTAAGCTTCTTCTCTTTTCTTAAGCTCCTCCCATGGCGTCCCACGAAACCCTAACCCTCGACTCCTCTCGCCTCTTCCTCGCCGCCCAAACCTCCTTCCACCACCAGCCTGCGCAGCCGCCCTCGCTCTCCCCTTTTCCCTCCACTTTCCCTCAATCCAAACACATCCCAAGGACGCGTTTCCTCGTCGATGCCTTCCGCTACGCCGGCGACTTCTCCATCTCCTACTTCCTCACCCATTTCCACTCCGATCACTATTCCGGCCTCGCCTTCAATTGGTCCAAAGGCATTGTCTTCTGCTCTCACACCACCGCTCGGCTCCTTATTGAAATACTTAGGGTTCCTTCTGTTTTCGTCCTCCCCTTGCCGCTTCGTGAACCAGTAGTAATTGATGGTTGTGAGGTTGTGCTTGTCGATGCCAATCATTGTCCCGGTGCTGTTCAATTCCTGTTCAAAATTCCCGGTTCGGAAGGCAAAACTGTGAGGTATGTGCATACAGGGGATTTTCGATTTTGTGAATCAATGAAATCCGACACTTGTTTACGCGAATTTATCGGTTCAGATGCGATTTTCCTTGACACTACTTATTGTAATCCGAAATTTGTATTTCCGTCGCAAGAAGAGTCTATTGATTATATTGTTAGCGTAGTGGAAAGAGTTTCAGGTGAATGTAAAGGTCCGAAGAATAATGTGTTATTTCTTGTAGCTACTTATGTCATTGGGAAAGAGAAGATTTTGCTAGAGATTGCTCGTAGATGTAATCGAAAGATATGTGTGGATGCTAGAAAAATGAGCGTTTTGCGCATTTTGGGGTGTGAGGAGAGTGGAGTGTTTACAGAGGATGAATGCGAAAGCGATGTGCACGTTATTGGGTGGAACGTTTTGGGTGAGACATGGCCATATTTTAGGCCTAATTTCGGAAAGATGAACGAGATTATGCTTGAGAGAGGGTACTCTAAGGCCATTGGTTTTGTTCCGACTGGGTGGACATATGAAGTGAAGCGCAATAAATTTTCTGTCAGGTCGAAAGATTCACTTGAAATTCATCTCGTACCATATAGTGAGCATTCAAACTACGAGGAGCTCAGGGAATATGTTAAGTTTTTGAAACCGAAGTGTGTCGTTCCTACAGTTGGCTTGGATGTTGAAAAAGTTGACGGCAAACATGCTAACAAAATGAAAAAGCATTTTGCAGGGTTAGTTGATGAAATGGACAACAAGCAAGAATTCTTGAGGGTTTTTCATCGAGTGAGTTGTGAAATGAGTGATAACGTTGAAAAGAACACCAAAGATGCCTTGGGCAAGGAGCTGTATCTGGAGAAAGGCACAAAGTCTGCTAATACGAAAGTTACGGAAAATATAGATATAGGTTTTTTTTCAGAATCATCAATGCCCCCTCAAGAACACAGTTCACAAAATTCAATAATATCAATTGATGAGGAAGCAGAGAACACACTTCAGGAGCTTCGTGAAGGTTTGCCTTCATGGGTTACTCGAGACCAAATCTTGGATCTCATTGAAAGCTCAAGTGGGGACATTGTTGAGGCAGTTTCTAATTTCTATGACCGTGAAACAGCATTTCATGAACAAGTTTTTGGTAGTGCAGCTTCTAATTCTATATCCCAGATCAGCTTGCGAAATGATTCTGCAGAGCCTGCACCACTTTTGCAGTCAACCACTGTCAAGATGAGTCTGTTTGGGAAGATTGACTCTCCTTCAAGTCATGATTGTAAGTCTGTCAGCATAGGAAAATCACTTGGGAGTGGTGCTTCTCCAAGCAAAAGGAAGAAGAACATTGAAAATAAGCAAAACAAGAAAGTAAAAAATAAGTCTAAATCTGAAACAAGTGGGTCAAAACAATCAACGATAACAAGATTCTTCAGTAAAGTTTTGCCTATTGCTTCTAGAAGTGCTGATGGAAACTTGCATGAAAAAAGCACTGAAGATGAAAAAATTTATGATGATGACTCACAGCCATACAAGCACGAGATAAATCAGTTTATTCAGATAATAAATGGCAATAAATCATTGGAAAGCTACGCTGCCACCATCTTGGATAAGACAAAGGGAGATATTAATATGGCTCTTGATATTCATTACAATAACCCTGGGAGTGAAGTTGGGTTGGCAATTGATAGGAAATCTGTTCAGTCCTCGTGTGTTATCAACAGCCGCACTTCTGGCAAGAAGGAATTTGAATCGGAAAAAGTGGGGCATGCAGCTGAATTTTCGATGCGACGATTTTTAACAGAGGATGTGGATGCGACTTCTGTATCGCTATCAACAGAAACATATAATCCCGTGGAGCATGGTTGGTGTCTATGTCGTTAAATATTTTTGCAGCTTAGAGAATTTATTTTCTGTATAGCTGTTGTCATATTCTTTTTAAACAGAATTCTTGGTGATGCGGAGAATTATTTGCAGCTTGCTGGAGGGATGGACAGCGGGCTCCATATTTACATATTGCACGAACTTTTGACTTACTTGAGAGTGAAAAGGGAAAGATAAAAGCGACTTCTATGCTATGCAACATGTTCAGAAGGTTTCTCGCTCTTTGTTGTATACCTTATGTCACTCCTTCCCGTTTCTTTTTTCCTTTTCGTTTTTCACTTCTTCCTAGTGAAGAAGTGTTTTTACACTTTATGTCTTTGAATTGGCTAAATTATAATGGGCTTCCCTTTTTATTTTTTATTTTTTATTTTTTTGGCTTAGTTTGCTGGCCTTGTCTCCTGAGGATGTTCTGCCCGCAGTCTATTTGTCCACAAATAAGATTGCTGCTGACCATGAAAATATGGTTTGTCAAATTCCTTTCCTAATTATTTTACACAATAATAGAGTATTGCTCGTCCCATGGGGTGGCGGTTGGAATTCAGGCCTTTGGTCTGCTCCCATAAGGTATAGAGTTTGAACCACTTCTGGTTTGAACTCATAAAGTGAGTTCGTGGGATTTCTGGATGCTAAAAAGAAAAGAGTAATATCGCTCACATATTTCCAAATTACCCTAGAAGGATATTTGGATCTCAATGTGTGGTGGATAATGAATCTTCTTTGACACTGTCTCCCAATATTGTATGAATGTTGTGCTCCTATTGTCTTCTTGTTCTTTCTGTTTCACATGCTTCTTATGCCCTGTTTGGTTCGATGGTTTGAATTTTGTTGGTTTGAACTTTTTGATTTAAATAGAAAAATTCAAACTGTATGGTTAAATTATAGTTTGAATTAACGTTTGGATGTGTAGTTAAAGTTTTAATTTGAATAGAGAATAAAATTCGAATTTGTGTTTGAGAATGAGTGGTGTGAAAAGCAGAGAGAGTGGGCACTTTTTACTGTTGAAAAATGGTTTGAGCAGTTGAACTTGAGGGGGGAGTTAAACTCTAAGTTGGGCCGTTTAACTCAGTTCAAACAGGGAATATAATTCAAATTGCATGCTTACCAAATGTCAGTTCAAATTGTGCTCACTGTTCAAACTGAGTTGAACCGAACTAAACTAGTGAAACAAACAGGAGCTTAGTTAACCAGTTCTAGTGGAAATTGCAACACAAATAAAGCACACTCTTTTCCTTTATTTATTTATTTTTTTCTCTGGCCTGGGTTTGAGGTTGCATTAAACGTATGTTCTTGCAGTTCTTGTCCAATAATGTTACTTAAGGAATATTTTCTCTTACAATAATGTCGCAGGAGTTAAATATTGGTGGCAGTCTGGTTGCATCAGCATTGGAAGAGGCATGCGGAATAAGCCGATCCAAAATAAGGGAGATGTACAATGACTTGGGTGATCTGGGTAGGAATTTGTCATAATTATACAATTATGCATTTACACGACAACATTTTTCGATTGCCTATCAAATTGTTTATCATGCTTAAAGGTGATGTTGCTCAAGCATGCCGACAAACACAGATGTTACTTGTCCCTCCTTCGCCACTGTTGATAAAAGACGTATTTTCTGCCCTACAAAAGATAAGGTAGATCCAACTTGTGCCTTGGTTTACAACATTACTAGCTGTGTGAAAATGTTTAGACCAAAATGATTGGAAAAAAATTTAGACTTATTATGTTTTTCACATTAGCGGAAAGAACTTTGGATGAGATTGCACTTTAGCTTAGCTTGTTTCATTGTTAAAAAGATTACGATTATACAAGTTTTCTAATCTGAACTGTCTTTTTATTCTTGCATCTTTTTTGTTATTTTTTTGAACTTTTGATGAGAAAAAGGCAAGACTGAAACGTGGTTGTGTATTTTTGGATCATTTATTTCTTCATTTGAAGATTGTAGTGATACTTTGGTTGCTTTTAGGGAAGGGATTTCATTTGTCATGTTGATACTAAGACGAAGTTGAGATCTGCTTGTGGATAATGGTTCATGATGCTAAAGGGGCAGTAATCTGAAATTGAGTAGTGTTGGAAATTTTTCTAGATGAGTTTCTTGAAAGGAATGATGAAACTTTAAGGATACTTTTAGGGACAAAGCTTTTCTTTGAACAAGATCAGATTCGACAGACTATTTAAGGATATCTAGTCGTTAGAATTTTAGGGACGTTCATATCACATTCTGACAAAATTAAAAATGTTTTGTCAATGTTGTTATCGTTTCTGGTGCCTTTGACTTTGTTCTTGTTTCTTTTGGATGTGCATGTAACTCTGGTTCTCTATTCTTGTAGCCTCGCTTCTTTAAACTAAATTTTAATTCTTACAAAAAGGGGAAAAAAAGAAAATTATATGTAAGTTGACTATCTCTGAGTACCTATGAGAGGACAGATGAATGACTATAAGACAAATCTGATGGTGTTTGTAGGTTTCAACGTGAGCTAGTTTGTCTTAGATTATTTTATTCATTTTACTGAAGAAAAATGTGTTTCTTTTTCTATTTGATTATGGGGTTAATTTAGGTTATGCAAACTATTAGCCATACTTTCAGTTTATTTATGTAGTAATCTTCAGTGCGCAAACAGGCAGTGGAAGTACAACAAGGAAGAAAAACCTTATTGTTAGTCTCATGCGTTCTTGTAGAGAGAAGGAGATGAAGTTTCTTGTTAGAACTTTGGTAATACTCTTGTTGAGCCTTTTGATTCTAAATGTTGTACTGCTTAGAGATTCTTTTAATTTTTTATCTCTTCCATACCCTTTGTAATTCTCATGGGGATGGTTAACAGCTTTTCAGTATGAAGAATTTAAATTCCATAGTTAATTCTGAAGTTTGTGTCATACAAGCTCGTGCATCAAAATTAAGTGAGAAGAACCGTTGATTTCCATCTTTTTTTCCAAATAACTTGCTGTTGTATAGACCTGTTAAAATACATATAGGTCTTTCGTGGTTGACTTTCTGTTGCATGAAAGTCAATATTTGGCAAATAGAAGAGAATCAGAAGAAATTGTTGTAGAAATAGGGAGAAGAAACCTTACTGGGTATTCTTTGTATTCTCCTTACATCAGAACTTTTACCGGGCCTTTTTCTGGTAGCATTCACATTGGAGTCTTTGCCTAGTTAATTATTGATTTATTTGGTAGAGGGATTCGTTCCCTGATTCGAATCATGATTCGTGGTTCGCTACAGTATTTTCTCTCACTAAAAATACACGTAAATCAAAAATGGTTCTAATCACATGGTTCTAATCCATGAACCAAACGGACTCTTAACATTGTCCTGTGTTGCCTAAAACTGCTTGGTCTAGTGGCACTGGGGGGCTTGGGTGGAATAGGGTTTGGGGGGAAAATTGTGGGTTCAATGCTGTGTTGTATATATATAAAAAAAAAAAGAAATAAATGACATTATCCTGGGTTTGGACCCCTTGCTTTTTCTTTTATTTATTTGTTTATTTTTTCATTTTGGTTATATTTGACCCTTATCCATCTTTAGGTCTAATGCTTACAGCTTAACATGCCATTAGTGTCGTCATTTTAAGCGTGATTGTCATCATTCGGTAAATTAAGACATTTACCAAAAAGAAGATTAAGACATTAAACTGTATAATATGGTCATCATTTGGTACAGGTTAGGAATCTACGGATTGGAGCTATGATGCGGACTGTCCTCCCTGCACTGGCTCAAGCTGTTGCTATGAATTCTTCCCCTCACTTTCATCATGAAAGGACAGTGGAAAGCTCAAAGGATGAGCTCCAGGTTCTATTTGCGGATATTTGTAGCGGATGATTCTATAGTTGATTTTCACATTTTCTATGAAGTATGGCTGTGGGTAGACATGCTTATTCCTTGAACTGTTCACAAACTTATCTACTTGTACTATTAATTGTAGAACCTTTCAGCAGCTGTTGTTGAAGCATACAATGTAGTTCCGAGTTTGGTAAGTACTTGCTCATTTGCAAAAGTAAATCCTTTTCCCCACCTTTTCTTGTTTTCCAACAGTCTTCAGGCCATGGCATTAAGTAGACGTATTTTGGTGCTTCTTTAATGTCCAGCTATACATCTGCAGTGTATCTAACCCATGCATAGGAAGAGAGATTACTACTACTAGAATAATCCAATCTTTATCTGGCTCTTAATTGCTGAAGTTTTTACGAAAACTGGTTAATGAACATATTGCATGCTCTCTTTAAATGTAACTCTATCCTTGTGTCAAATGTCATGTCTGTTTCATTAGTAGTAGATATCTCAATATGTATATATCTGCCGTGTGATCAAGCAGGATTTAATTATTCCTTCTCTCATGAACAATGGCCTTGGATTTTCATCATCAACTATGTCAATGATTCCAGGAATACCCATCAAGCCAATGCTGGCAAAGTATGTGTTCTTGCTTTTATTCCATACTCTTTTGGGAAAATTGTTGTGCGGGATGCATTCTGATATGCCACCTTGTTGTGCCATACTTTTCTGTGGTAGAATCACCAACAGTGTCGAGCAAGCACTGAAACTCTTTCAGAATAGGGCTTTTACTTGTGAATATAAGTAAGTAATATTTTATTTTCATATGCTTATACCTCTTTTGATCAAGTTTCCTTTTGATAACTAATTGGAGTCAATGAAATATTCATAATCTTGTCATGTCAAAGTATGCAGCATCGCCTACAAAACTGATTATGCTGAACCCCTTGTTAACCTATTTTTTTTGTATTGAATATGATTCTGATTTGTTTGACTAAGTTTTTTGTGATACGGCAATATATCTACTTCATTGACCATCCCGCACTTTTTCTCACAATGTGAATGTCTACTTAGGTGATCCACTTCTCTTAGTATGTTTAAGATTCTTAGAGTTGAATTATTCTAGCCGCAGACCGTATTAGAGTTAAGGATTGGAACTGCAGATGTTTTAGATTCTTTGAATTAGTTGGCTGTTCATTCTTTTGTTTTTTTTATTATTTTATTATTTTGAATTACATCAAGGGACCTTTGTTGATGAAAAAATTTATCAATACAAGATAGGAGAGGATGAAATATCCTCAAAAGAGAAAACCACCGAAAACAAAAATGAAAACTAGAAAAAATAAATAAAGAGACAGCAAGCCTAACACAGAGGAACTAAACCCAAAAAACTAGAGTACAAAAAATCAAAAACTATCTCCCAATTATCCCTCCAATTAAGAACAATAAAAGAAATTGGGAAGCCTTTGAAGTCTTTGTGAAGAGATGCTGAAAACTGTGCTTTCTCAAAAAGGTCATTTGAATCCATTGCTTTGTCCTCAAAAATTCGTGTGTTCCTTTCCAGCCACTATGTCCAAAGAATCGAGATGATAATGCTGTTCCATAAAACCTTAGCCTTCTTATTGGTGCCAAAACCGTTGGATGCTCAGGAAAAGACCATAAAAGAACAATTTATTCTAAACTCATTTTATTCTGTATTTTTATTTTTTATTTTTATTTTTCTTATTTTATTTTTCTTTTCCTGCTGAGATAATATCTCTGGGCGTGTGATTCCAGATATGATGGTCAGCGTGCCCAAATTCATAAGTTAGCTGATGGATTTGTTCGTGTGTTTTCACGAAATGGTGATGAATCAACCTCAAGATTCCCAGATCTTATCAATATAATTAAGGAATCTTGTAAGCCTGATGCAGATACCTTCATACTTGATGCAGAGGTAAAGAACGTATGAGGCCACAGATATAGAATATTTATACATTTCACATACCTTACTTTTTGTGCCCACATTCATTTTTTTCCCTTTTTCTTTTGTTGAAAGGAGTACTGTTTTGTTTATCAAATTGTATTTTTCTGAGAGGAAGTTCAAGTGATTCCTATGCATATGCTTTTTCTCTGGTTTCAGGTTGTTGCAATTGACAGGAAGAGTGGCTGCAAGCTTATGTCCTTCCAAGAACTATCTTCGCGGGGGAGAGGCAGCAAAGATACCTCAATTACATTAGATAGCATAAAGGTATCATATCATGTGGTTTCTTTGAAATATCCTGTGTGTTTGCTAATGAAGTTCTGAAAGAGGACTAGAATAGCTCGTAATATACATGAAGAGAACTAAGAAATGAAGCAGGATGTTAATCCATCCCGTAATATCAGGCACGAGTATTGAATTATCTAGTTTAGACACAATATGTTTGGAATTTCATTTAGCATGCACATGTGTATTTTAATGTTACTCAGTGGAAGAGCAGTGATTTTGCTGTGATTGCAAGCTTATTTAATCGATCTGATTCTTGCATATTTCTAAAGAGAGGAGAGGATAGGAATAATATAGGTGGTAAGTCCTTTGTTATGGATATTACTGGTATTTTGTGCTCTAAGTGCATAGTAATTAACAGTCTACTTCCTTTTTCAGGGGACTTTTTTTTATTTTATTTCATTTTTTCCTTAATTTGGTTGAACTATCTGATGTGTTTTCTGCCTTACATTTGTATGCAGGTTGACATCTGCGTATTTGTCTTTGATATCATGTTTTCAAATGGCCAACAGTAATTTTCTGCAACTTTTGCTTGATTATATTTAAATGTACATATTGTGTATGCACTTTTTCGATTTCTGACTCTTCTATATCTGAACCGAGTGTCTTTGGATTCTAAACTGCAACCTTCTTGTCTCTTTTCCGTACTCACTTCTCCAGGACTGAAGAGGACTGGGGAACAACTTCATTTTCCAATCTGTACCTGTAATTCTTTTGTCTTGGGAAAAGAAAAGGAACCCATAAAGTTGCTTTCTGATATTAACTGCATGATTGAAGTTCGTATAGATATTCATGGTTACTATAGACATGCAAAGTATTCCAAGAGTAATAAAATAATTCCATATCAGAAACAGAATTATAAGGATATGTTTGCTGCATAATCGAATAATTGTTGTTTGATTTTCAACAAGCGCCCTCTTATCTAATGTAGATTCACTGCAGGCTTTTGGGTTTTCCTCTACGACAAAGACGGAAATGTAAGCATCTGCATGTGCTATGTGGAAATTGTTGTAGACACACACACACGCACACACACACACACTTCATGTGTACATATATATTTTCTGATCCTCTCCATTCGTTATGCAGGCTTGAGAGATTTGTTCTCTGGTGAGAAGTTGGGATGTCTCGAGTATGCAAAGGAAATAACGGTACATTCTTCATGATATTATTTTGATGCAACTTATTATTCATTGATTGGTGGTTTATACAACCTGTTTCTTTTTAGGTTGAAGCAGAAGATGCTTGTTCAACAAGTGAAGCACCCGTAGCTAAGATAAGCTCTTTTCTTGAAACTGCATTACTCTCCTCTTGTGAAGGGATTATGGTTAAATCTTTAGATGTTGATGCTGGATATTCTCCATCAAAGCGAGCTGACACTTGGCTCAAGGTTAAATGCTATTCAAGAATTTTTTGTACTGATTACCATGTGCGGGAAAAGCACAAGAAAAGCACTAAATATCCGTCCCTTTGCAGGTCAAGAGAGACTATGTTGAAGGATTAAATGATTCGCTTGATTTAGTCCCAATTGGTGCTTGGCATGGAAATGGAAGAAAAGCAGGATGGTAAATATTTCCATAGAATTTGAAAAAATAATGTCATTTAAGGGTGTCTCATATGAGTTTTGTGTATGGGATGAACAACATACTAGGAAAGATCGTCGGTGAAACCGTCAAAGATCATTGTTTTGATATGATGGAAATAGTTGTGCGACTTGCAAAAGGGTAAATGGCTTGTGAATGAGATAAGGTTGTCCTGTTTCAAGATTTTGCTTCTAAAACTATCAATGAACCAATGGTAATTTTTATGTTACGGTGAGCTATAAAAGTGTTCTTTTCATTCTGAAGGGGGGAGGAAAATACAAATTTATACAGAAGCATAGAATTGCAATTTTGATGAGCTCAGGATGCACAATATATATATATATATATATATATATATATTGGGGGGTAAAATTTGATGCTTTTCGGGTGGCTATGCTGTCATTATTTGATGCGACCTTCCTATGATTTCAGGTATAGTCCTTTTCTCATGGCTTGTTACAACCCTGATACTGAGGAATTTCAGAGTGTTTGCCGCGTAATGTCTGGATTCTCAGATTCTTTCTATACAGAGGTAAAGTGGATATGGCATGTGAACAAAGTAGTTTACTTGGACACATTTTTCTTTCAACCATGTCAAGGATATGGCGACTGATTTACTCGTGATTTGAAGCAGCCTTTTTGTTATTCTGGAAGATATGAAACTAATTAGACTGTTCATTTTTATTTTTATGCATGCACCAAATGTTGAATGCCAGCGGTCACCCTTAGTGCTGCTGTCTTTAACACGGATAATGATTCTGTATCTCTGCTTTTTTTTTTTCCTGGTTAAATCTAGATTTTAACACAAAAAAAGGAATGTGATAATTTCATGTATATTAACAACAAAACTTGTCTGATTCTTAGGTTTCTCACCAGCTCATTGTCAGAACTATTTTTGAGGATGTTAAGTTGTTTGGGAAAAGGATGAATGCAGTTACATCTTTATATTTTCTAGGATAAAGCTCATAAGTTGGGTTGTAAAACTATTTCTCAATTTAAGGAAATCTTTTCTTTTGAAGATCACGTCTACAAGCTCGTTGAAGGAATTTGTCTCTAGGCTCTAGCGTATGAATTACTAATGTTTTCTAAGTTGTATGTCCGGGCCTTGTCATTTTCCCTCAAGAAGTTGATATGTCGTGAAGGTTTGATTATTTACCAACATGTTTATCACATGATAACAAGGATACTCTTTTATTGAGCTGCAGATGAAAAGTTTCTTCTCCGGGGACAAGATCTTGTCCAAAAAGCCACCTTATTACCGAACGGGTGAGGTGCCTGATATGTGGTTCTCGCCGGAACTCGTGTGGGAAATAAGAGGTGCAGATTTTACTGTATCTCCTGTTCACGAGGCTGCCATCGGTTTAGTTCACCCTTCTCGTGGCATTTCAATCAGATTCCCAAGATTTATTCGCTCCGTGTCCGATAGAAAGCCTGAAGCATGTAGCACAGCTGCAGATATAGCCGAGATGTTTCATTCTCAGACTCGGAAAATGGATGTAGCAGTCGAAGATTGAATATTTTTTAGGTAGGAAGTTTCATATGTATACACTGTAAGGCGTAATGTATATAAATTTTGGAATGTATATAAATTTTGGAATGTACATAGATGAAAGAATATGTGGTTTAATTGCCCATTTTTTTGGACGCTTGTGAGAATATAGCTGCTCAAGCGTTGTCCCATTTTATCTTCAAAAGAAAACTATTTCTCCAACTCTGCAGAACAAGGGCCTGTTTCTGTCAGCTGAATCAGTTGAATCTTTCCTTCTCCAAAACTCAAGCGAAGTTTGGTCTGGTTCAGACTCGCTGCTTATAAACTAATATAAGCTCTTTGAGAAAGCCGAAAATAGAATACTGCATAAAATATCCTTCACCAGCTCAAACTCTTGATTGTGATCTTATTGTTTAAAGTATAATTTTGACTAATTCTAAGTTAACTTTAATTTAATTTATTTTTTTAATACAAACAAAGGTTTTGAAAGGTTTTTTCTAGTTAGACTTTTTCTTCCCGTTGAGAATGGTGTCTTAAAAGTATAAGATGTAATAAAAGATATTATTATTTATATAATAAAATAGAAATTTCATTATTTATGTGTATACAGTATTGAATATTATGTGAATATCATTAAAAATTTTGTGATTATTTATGTAACCTTAAATATTGTATATAAGAGTTATATACGAGAAGATAATTGTCACGTCCCGGGGCAGGGGTCGGTGACGTGGAGCTCGGTTAGGGGTTAAACGCATTATAATAAAGAAAATTCTCAACGAGCCCCACACTTAATTAAAATAAATTGTAAGGGAGAGACTAAAAACTCAAGCCTCTCACACTGTACAAAACTCAGGATCTGTTCACATGATCTCATTACCGTACATACATGATATGTAAATAAAACATTACAGATATCATCCACAGTCTATAAATTAGAATATCAGAGTTTACAGAATTTACAATTCTTACATATATTCAAGAGGATGAACACAATCCTCACTTGATCGAACGGTAGCAAATATTCAGCTACTCCGCACCGCTCCTAGAGTCACCTGAGAGGGGTTTAATACATTTGAAACATAGAAAACGTGAGCTACAGGCTCAATAGGATATAATTTATAAAACTGAATAAGTAAATAAGTGGATAAATAAATAAATGAATAAGTGAATAAATTATGACATTCAGTCTTGACACAACAGCCGGAACCTCACATCTTTTTTCTCAAAGGAAATATATTTAAAAATATATCTGTATTACAGGCATTAGCAAGTAATTTATACTATGATAAATCACTTACACAACCACGTGCACAAGCCATACTCCCGGGGTTTCGGGTCCTGCCCCTACGGATGCACTCTCCACATCCTATCTTGGCCATCAGCCAGTTTACCAATTCGCAAGATCTCTTATCTTAAGAAATCATTCATTAAACTTTATGAAATCGTTCGTTATAATCTCATGAACTACACAAGCCATGAGTCCCATGAACTACAACAAGCCATGGTCCCATGTACTACAACAAGCCATGGGTATCATGAACTCCAACAAGCCATGGGTTTTAAATACTTTTCTTTCGCAAACAAGCCCCTTTCTTTAAAACATTTGCAAGGCCAAAACTCTTTTAAAATCAGGCTCACAAAGAAAAAGGTAAGAAATCCTACCTCATAATTATCAAACATGTGGCTAGCGGTGCACTATTCCGGCTTCCGCTTCCTCAAGCCACTCAGTCCGAGTCCTCAGCCAGCATTGATACAAGACAACACTTTAAGTTTAATTCTCATTCCTAAAGCAATTCAGTCTCAATTACATCCTTTGATTTCCTATTAGTGTGCCATAATTCAATTACCGGTTTTACAAACCATTTCATGTTTCAATTCATAATTCTAAGGGTTTTTAATCTCAAAACATGGATTAAATATGCTAATCCATCTACTCTAGGTCCCCAAATGAAGCTAATTTGGGTCCTCCACAAAAACAGACGTCAAAATAACATTTTCAGGCTAAACGGGGTCAAACCCCGTGTACACTGGTCGACCGGTGACAGAGCAGTGCAACACCACCAGTCGACCGGTGGTGTGTAATCCGGTCGACCGGACAGGTCGACTGGTCAGGCCAATACAATCCGGTCGACCGCACAGGTCGACTGGTGAAGAACACCAGTGCGAGAAAACTCACAAAATCAGTTTGAAAACCTGCAAATCCAGTCCCAAATCACAATATCTCAAGGGACAACCACTAGATCCGGGTTCTAGGCACTAAATCAAGTCCAAAGAACCCAAGATCTCCAATTTCTACCATGTTTTTAGTCAAAATCTATCAAAATTCGTTTGAACTAAAAATAGGTTTTAAAATATGTAAAATCCGAGATTCAAGAGAGGTTCTTTTAGTAATCTTACCTCGAATCATTCTCTTGACGTTGAAAATTTCTTTAAATCCTTCCTTGGTTCAAGATCCAGTTTGATTTGAGACAAAAACGGGAGAGAGAGAGAGAGAGAGTGAGAGAGTGAAAGAGAGAGAGAGAGAGTGCATGGGAAGGAAAAGAAAGAAAGGAAAGAAAAGAAAAGGAAAATAGGTGTCTAAATATTTTAAAATGACAGTCCAGAAATGTGTTCATACACACTTCTGGGTAAAAATATAAATACTGAGAATATTTAAATACCTTAGAATTATTTAAATCCACACGTCAAAAACATTTATTAATTAATAACCAATTAATTAATAACCAATTAATTAATTCAAATCAGGCACACTAATAAATTTCAATTTCCTTAATTAATCTCATTTAATTCTTCGGGGTGTTACAATAATATTTAATGATAATAATCAAAATGTGTTCGTAATGAATTTAATTAAAGTTTCAGAATATTTAATTGAAGCATTACTAATATATGTCATTCTCATTAAGAATGGAATGATGTTATCCGCACTATTAATATGGAAGGATATTCGATGAGTGTATTACACATAATGTGATTATGTGGAACTAGGACACCGACATGATTTAAATTTCTGATAATTTTCGTTAAGTATAAAAATTGGAATTGAGTCTACCGATGGTCATATATAGAATGATTTTAATTCTGAGTTATTAGCATACTCTTATTTATGGATTTGTGTCTTTTGATTTACTCGGATTTTGAGATTGCTAAATCCTATTCTTTGTATCTTGGAGACATAATGAAGTGGGTAGTCGGGAATGCTGAGATACGAGATGGAATCCATTCATTCTTGAATAAAAAAGTAAATAAATAATTCTCTTGATGGTTGATTCGGTACTTAGATTAGTAGCAACTTTGATTCATGAATTTATTTTATGAATCACTATCCATTAGAGAATCAATGGTACTCAAGGATAAAGATGTAATTAGAGAGGTTAACAGATTCCACCTAGCTCTAATTATGAATTATTTATGGAGGATCGATTTATATGTAGTGACTATATCAAATGGACACTTCAAGTTCATGAAAGTAAATTTTGTCTCTAATTTCGAGAGTGCAATTCTAAGTTTTTAATTAAGTAACTATTGAAATTAATAGAATTAATTAATTAAATATGTTTAATTAATTATTAATTTTATTAGAGCTCAGAATTATAGGTCTATGAGTGTCCGCGTCATCCTTGTAATATTTGGAAGACAAGGTAAATTATTGGGAATTTATATCAGTCGAAATAAATAATGTGATTATTTAAATTAATTAATTTTAGAACACACTGTGATGGGACCACAAGAGGCCACACACCCAGCATATGGAGGTGTAGGGGGCATGTGGCACATGTCGAATCCCTCTGGGATTTGATTGCTTTCTTTGTAAGGAATCCAGTTTACTTGTTTGACACGTTTTCCAATTAAATTCAAAAGAAAATTAAAGTTTGATTTTATCTAGATACGAATTTGAGTCAAAATTGGAAAATGAATAAAAGGAGAAAGTTATCTCCTTTTTCTGACAGATTTAGACGCCAACCATATAGAGATATCCCTATGGTGGACCGGCCATATAGAGATAAGGAAAGAAAGAATTTTGATTTCAAAATTAAATGAGAAACTATACTTTTAAATGAGATTTAAAATAAAGTGGTAACCAATTATCTATTGATTTGCCTTTAAAAAAAAAAAAGCAAAGGGGTCGTCCTAGTATTTTATAAATAGAAGACAATAGGAAATTGGATAACACAATTTTTCTTCCCTTCCCTTATGTGATAGGCGCATAAGATTTTGTTAGACAACGTGTAACATTCTAGTGGCAGCCATGTAACCTGAGAGAAAAAGAGAAGAAAAGTTCTTCTATTCTCAGTTCTACCTCATACTTGTGTTGATATTGGTGGAAGAGAAAATTAGCGAGTGATCAATCCTATAATTCTAAAATTAAAGTCCACACTCTAGGTCTTGCAGGTATTAAGAACTAGACAAAAAAGATTTAGACTTTCCTAAAAAGCTTAGAGCGAAAATTGTTCGTGATAAAAAAACTCAAATTATTAATCTAATCATTCACTAAGTAAATAAATAAATAAATTAAATTAATTTATTCACATATAAATTAATATATTATAAAAATTTTATGAAAATTTTTATTATACACAACACTCCATAATCTAAAATCATTTCGGATACCAACACTCCCTAATCCCTAATGGAATATCATTACATAAACCAACCGATAACTGACCGTTTTCGTACCATCCAAAACTCCCGCCAAATCTCTCAACCGGCTAGCACCGGTTATCCTCCATATTATTCCCGGTAACCCAAATTTTTAACTTTTTCTTTTCTTTTCTCCTCCAAGGAGGGAAAAAAAAAATCCCTTGGATTAGCAATTTACCAAGATTCAGAATTTCCCCTAGGGAAAAAAAAAAAAAAGAAAGAAAAAGTGAAATTCAAATCATTAAAAAAAAAAAAAAAAAAACAGAATTTGTATTCTGGGCACACTTTTGAGCTTGCTAGTTATCTTTCTCGTTTTTCAGATTGTTGGACCTTCTGAGTTTTCGATGAAGTTGTTGGAAGTTAGGGTTTCCAATATCGTATCTACACGACAAAGCACAGAATTTAGCTGTTCCTTAAAAAATTCGAAACAATGAGTGCTGTTAGCATAACAAACGTGACGGTCCTTGACAATCCGGCGTTGTTTTCGTCCCCCTTCCAGTTCGAGATCTCCTACGAGTGCTTGACTCCTTTGAATGACGGTAATCTTCCCACTTTTTCTTTTTGTTGGTTCCTGAAAATTTTGATGAGTTTCAGTTTAACGTTTGGTTTGTTTGGCCACCAAGAAAATGAAACAAATGTATTTCATTATGGATGTGGCTTTGGAAAATATTACATGTGCTTAGCAATTTCGTTTGTTTTAATTGGATTTTTAAAAAAAATTAATTAAACCTTCTGTCTTTCTTCATTTCTCAGTGCAAATCAGGGGTTTAGAGTAAGTTTCGTCGTTTATATGTTTTGGCAATATATAGAATTAAACGACCTAAAAGGAAACAAACTTAAATCTAATTACCATGTAAAAGAAGAAAGTTCATTGAGAGGGTGAGAGAGAGTGAGAGTGAGCAGTGCTGGGTGATATGTCAACATGAGTAGCAGGGTTTTTCTCTCCTTTGTTTGTGGAGTGATCGGGAAATCCGATAGCCGGGATGGGCTGCATTTTGCTTCCGAGACTGGTCTGCGGGTTCAGATTGTTTAGAGCAATGCCCTTCGGGCAGAGTGTCTTTGGAAGACTTAGCTCCTGCAGGCCGGCCCTGTGATAGAGGATATTTTTCATTTTTGTTGAATGTGCTTGGTGGTGGTTCTTATTTTTCCATTTCTCGTTCTGCGAATGTTGCAGTCCACAAACTAGCACAGTATGCTTTTAGCTCACAATGTCGAGCAATTCTGCCTGGAAGAGATACCTGAATGTATGAGTGGGTTGTACTAGATGATTTGTTTCACTAATCAATGAATATCTGTCATTCCAGTTTCAAATAAATGAATAAAGCATGAGACTTCTTTTATACACAATAGAGTGGATAATTTTTTAAATTTGTACTAATGACATGATATATGAGATATTGTCTTTATAATTTCTTAATCGAAGCAGTAGTAACGGATTAATTCTCATTAAAAAAGAATGGTAGCTGGTAATTCTCTTTAGGAAATCAACTGCTTTCAAAAATGTTATCGTCTTTTCTTTTGGGGTTTCCTTGTCTTATCCTTTTCTCCCCCTGAAATTGTTTGTGGCAATCACATTTACATAGGAGTTGAAAAGAAATCAATTGTTCTAAAAGTTCTTTCATTTGCTACTTTCTTCCAATTGTACACCGTCAATCAATCATGTTTGAACTCTTGTTGTTGCTGAAATGTTTTCAGATTAGCTCATCCTTACGCAATTTAAATTTAAGAAACTATGAGGTCTCTATGTTTGTAGTCATTTAAGACTTATGAGATCGGATAATATTAAGATTCTACTCATCATTGGACAATGACCTGGTCTCTTCTTGACTTTCCTCTTTACTTGTTAATTCCAAAGAATGATTGCAACCAACAGTTTCATTTTGCTACTAACAACTGAAGTTTATATTTCTATAAAAGTCTGCGGAAGGGAACCTTGAAATTTAGGATGTTATTCCTTCTATATTTGTCACAAACCCTTTTTTTTTTTTTTTTTTTTTTTTTTTTTTTTTTTGCTTTTTTATCGTGGAGGATCATCAATTAATGTATTGCTGATGGACCTATTTTCATCTGTCTTCATGCCTAAAATGAGAACGACATTATTCAATGTAGAATATATATGAATAATCTTGATCTGGAGCTTCTTTTTGCTGTTCTTTAGAGGTAGGAAGGTTTGAGCAATTCAGTCTATTCATAATTTAAAAGGTCATCGTTATCGCAATTAAAGCCCTTTTCACTGTCATGTAAGAGGCAAAGTATATGTATGTAGAAATATAATAGCTCATATCCAAAGATTAGTTTCCGCAATTCGAAGTGTATTTTTTCCTGCAATGGTTATTTATTTATTTATTTTTGTAACTTTCAATTGATTATTTAAAACCCCCAGTTCGTTGACCAATTCTAAAGACTGAAGAGGCTCTAATTATCCCAAAAAGGACGAGGAAAAAATGGGCCTGGGGGGAGGGGGGGTTTGTGGAACCTTTGAAGAGCCTGAACTGAATCAACTGGTTTTGGTTGCACTTGTGTACGTTATCTCATTTGAGCAGAGTTTGTGTAACGGAAAATGAACCTTTTTATTTCAAATATATGATCTGCTTGGTAGTTTTGCATTCTTCCGCCAATTCTGGAAGGTCGCTAATAGATTCTGGTTGTGTTTTGTCATGCCTGACTTAAACAACTTATGGAGTGAAAAATATAACTGTTTTGATCTATTTGCTATGTTCCATCCTGTTGTAACTTCTTTGTAGTGTATAGAGTGAAAAATAAAACTGTTATCTGGTACAGATTTGGAATGGAAGCTTATTTACGTTGGATCTGCAGAGGATGAGACTTATGACCAATTATTGGAGAGTGTACTTGTTGGTCCTGTGAATGTTGGTAATTATCGTTTTGTACTACAGGCAAGCTGCAATAATCTCATGTTGTCTCTATATTTTTTTTTTCACATGTTAGGGGCAACGTGATTTCGGCTACAATGTCATTTGTGGTAAATTTGTTTTGCAGGCAGACCCTCCGGACCCTTCCAAGATTCGCGAAGAAGACATTATTGGTGTCACAGTACTTCTACTAACCTGCTCTTATCTTGGTCAGGAATTTGTTCGAGTCGGCTACTATGTGAATAATGACTACGATGATGAACAGCTGAGAGAAGAACCTCCTCCAAAGGTCCTAATTGATAGGGTCCGAAGAAACATTTTATCGGATAAGCCTCGGGTCACAAAGTTCCCCGTCAATTTCCATCTAGAGAACAGTGAGAGTGGAGAGCAACCCCCTCCGCCATCTGATCATCCTGCTGATTCAGATGAAAGTGGAGAACCAGCTGCTTCACCTGAACATCATTCTGGGCAGCTAGGACCTTAGCTCTTGAATCAAGAGTCCTTTCGTTCCTGACTTTCAGTTTTCTCTTTGAGGTACATATCATGCTTTTCTTTTAAACAAGCGCTCTAGCCAAAGCTTCCGAAATTATTTGGCATTGCTGATCAGTATTTGGGGTCTCAAGTTGTAAACTCCTCATCTGGTTCCTTGATGAAGCCATGATATGAATCCCCCTTTTTCTTGCTATTTTTTTTTAGGAGGCCATCTGATTTGTACTTTCTGCTGTCAACAGAACTACTAAACCCTGTAGTCATGGGACATTGGCTTAGTTTGGTAGTGCTGTGGATTTTAGAAAAATTGTTTTTAGTTGTGTTGAAGAAAAAAACAGCTGTTACAAAAAGCAGCTGAGTGTTTGGTAAACTATAATTATACTAGCTGTGCTGGTTTCAAAATCAGTGTAACAATGTTTGGTAGATTGTGAGGTTAAATTGTGGTGGGTAGTTAAAATGACCAAAATAGATATGGTATGAAACTTAAATATATATAATTATTTTTTGTATTTAGAAATACTTGTTTAACTTAAAAAAAAAACATAATGTCATGATTCTGAGTTTTCTAACAATAAATTTATGATAATTAGTTCTTTTTTTTTTTTTTCATTTCTTCATTCACAATATAGTTACAACAAAAAATAGCATTAGTGAGTAATCAACATATAACAAAAAGGAGCATCAGTGAGTAATCAGTATATAAAAAAAAATTTTACATTCCATGTTCAAAAATTATATATTCCATGTTGTAAGATACTTAAATTGGCTTTCTTATCCTTAGCTTGAGACAGACTAGTCTTGTGTTTATCTTAGACTTTTGGTGTTTTGTGTTCATAATGAAGAAGGGTTGAACTTGAAGCTACCTTCTTTAAGGGAAGGATCGATGGCCTATTACAATAAAGTCTGGTTAAGAATGTGAGAATGTCCCAATACGATTCCAGAGTAAACACTTGTGAAATAGAAGCCAAAGCGGTTGACGTGCTTCGATGCATGATTGGGAATTCATTTTGAGTGAGATTTTGGTTGATTTAAGAATGCACTAGTTCAAGCGACTGCTGAAATGACCAATTGGTCAAACGGCATGCATAGGACAGGGCGGGGTGGTGCTCGAATTCAGAGTCTGCAGGGTTGATCCCACATTGCAGCAATTTAAGCAGCCTTGAGATCTTCAGTTGATGTCTGAAGTACTAAAAAGACGCCACTGAGTATTATCTCATACCGAATCCAATATGCCAACTGCAGTTTTTAAGCTGCTGACAATACCAAGAACGTAATTGTTGTCCAAATTATCTAAAAGCAAGGAGGGATGGATTAGGAATGCAGGTCTTCATTATATTTTTGTAAATGGTAAAGAAAAATGCAGGATAGGCAACTGTAACAAGCAATTATTTTGTAGTTTATCTTAGCCAATTGAGAATAATCTCACAATCCCACAAGTTCCTTGCACCTAATCGGTCTAATATTGGACAATGCACAGAGGGATTAACCGTGTCTATCCAATTATTGCTGCAAGTGACCATTGATCTTTTAGACATGAATAAGGTCAAAAATAAATTGTTCTTTTTTATTTTTATTTTTAATTTTTTTAATTTTTCAAGCTCGTCTACCGTATGCCTGCATGCATATAAAGCCTTTTCTAATGGAGTAACAATCATATCAATGATTCATATCCAGTAAAATGGTTGGAACCAAAGCAAGCAATCAAAATTGATACCAAAATTGTTGCTATTCAGGGAACAGCATAAAGAAGAAACACAGTACCTTCATCTGGAAGGAAAAACCCAACGGGACAAAAAACTTGAAAAACAACAAAACAACACAACAGAAAGGAAGAACTTTCAAGTCATCATTTAACCACATCACTCTCAGCAACAAACAATCTTTTAGAGGATTCATGTCTTCATACATGTTGGCAAACACTTTTTTTCCTTCATTTCTCCCTATTTGCATATTCTTGTATAGCAACCAAAATACGATCCTTCACTTGTCATGCTTACGCCTTTTCTTGGCTGGGCTCTCTTTTGTTGGCCTAGTCTTTACCACATCAGACTCATGTCCAACTTTCTGCATATTGCAAAGGAATTTTAACTATTATGACTTTTAAAAACACAAATACGTCAATCATGACTGCATGATGTAAATACCTTCTTTTTTAACTTGTTCTGTCTTCGACGATGTTGCCTCTGCCTGCCTCCTTTCACCTTGTTTGGGTCCTGATGCAAAGTAATAAAGTTACTTTCTTGCGTCTTATCTGCACCTCTCAACTTGTTACTTATTAAAGAGCCTCAAAATGCATCTATAACCAACCAAACCTGTGATTTAGCTGCTATTTTAGCATCCTGCTTTACCGGTGTGTCTTCGTTGTCGATTTCCCCATCACTATTGAGCGTAGCCTTCAGCCTACCACCATTCAATAATTTCTCTGATCGAGCATGCCTCTGGCAATAAGTAAGAAGTTTGAACTGATATAAGACCTTAAGGAATACAACATTCAACTTTAAAATGCCAAAAGCTGTCTTCAATTTAGTCCAAGCATATCATATTCAAGCTATTGGGTTTCCTCCAGGAAAATAATAATAATAATACTAAATAAAAAATAAAAAACACCAAAAAGATTATGAGAGAATAAGAGAAAACTATCATATTCCCGAACCCTTTATCCGTCACAACTAGAGGGTTCCCCAGGCCTTTCACAAAGAATATACTGAATGCTCAGTCTGTCTGTTCTATATAGTACAACTGTACAAGCAGTTTCATGGTTGCTAATTCCCACATTTCTTACAAGACTAGCCAAGGAAACAAGTTGCAGGGGAAAAAAGTGTCTGATCTGGATTCTGTGTTTTTTGTACTATTCTTTACATAAGAAACAAAGAAAAAATAAGATCATACATTAGAGGACAAACAGATCTTCGGGGGAAAAACAGTTGCACACATCATAATGATTATAGTTAGTTGATTGAATTTTGAAATGGAACACATACATCACAATCAGAATCATTTAGGGGGCAAAGAGCACAATGATGGTAACAAGTTAAGACAGACGCCCTTCTTTCCAGGTAAAAGTGGTGTTATATAATGAACCTCAAAACTTGAGTAGATCGATACTATATACTTCTTTAGCATCACGTTTTCAATTTGTACTTTCCATCTCAAGTTGCATGGTTGTAAGTCCTTGGCCCTCCTATCATTTTTGTATTTGAATTAAAGTTAATCTCTTCAACAGATCGGGTAATTGAAGTGATAAATAGTCTCTAGTATCCTTCTGTTACAATCACTAATTCAAAAATGGACCCTATACCGAGAATACAGCAGAAAATTATATGAGCTAATTGTTGAAAGCAAGAATTCAAATGGGAGGGAAAAAAAAGGAAGTAAAAAGTCTTTTTTGAATACTTTATTTTCTGAAACAAGGATTTGTGTTGTTTAGAATGAGCAAGTGAAATCAACGAGAGAGAGAACTAGTTCAACAGCTAACGGCCATGTGATTTCAACAAGAGACAAAACTAAGTCAAGATCTTACCTTGGACTTAAGATGAGCCCTCAAAGTTTCCTCATTCAAGCAGACAATTCGAGGGCATATCCTGCACTTAAAAACCGATTTGCTCTTTAAGATACATGCTGGAAAATCTGCTGATGGCAATTCCTTTTCCTCCATATTGGACTGGCCATCAATAGGAATTTCCCTTTCCTTTCCAGTTTCAGAATCTTCTTCATCTATCGGAAGACCTACAAAAGAAGTTAACATCAAGTATTCTGGAATGCATACTTTCAGAACAAAAAGGACAATAAAAAACATGAAGTAAATACTTTAAGTACATTACGCATCCTAACAAAATAAACAACACAAGGTATGGAATACCATCATTAATTCATAATACATGTAGTCACTGGCTCGTAAATATTTTTACAAGGAACAGAACATAGGCAGCAATGAACAGAACACATATTTCAAGAAATTTTTGACAAGTGAAGTTTGAAACACAACTTACAACAATTTCCTGTCACAAAGGTATCTAAGTACATTTAAACCAATACCGTATTCTAGTGTTACGTTCCAACAAATAAAAACTTCTATACATCAACAAAATGATCCTAAGTTATCATGTGTTGAGGCATATACATGGCTAATAGAACAAATTATGCCAACTGGTCCCGGATTTTACTTAAAACGCCATGGACCATTCTTCTAACGAGTTCCCATTTCATTATAACTTACTAGTTACTTATAACCAAGTGCCAAGGCCGTATCTTCTTCCTGCTCATCTACTACTGGAAAATAGAGCAATATGAAAGAAAAAACAAAAACAAAAACAAGGAAAAAAAAGAAGAAGAAGCTATAACCCAATACTTCTAACAGTGCTTTGATCAAATAACAATGCACTCCAGTTATATCAAACAACTTTCCATTTTTTATTTAAAAAGAAAAACCTTCCAGTAGACAAAAACATTCTCCATAACAACACACAACTTTTAGCGTGTTTAAAGATATCCTACACAAAAAAAATTGCACAATCACAATTCATACCCACAGATAGGCTTAAGCGAGAAAAAAAAAAAGAGCTTTGAAAAGCAAGAAACAAAAAACCACTTTTTTCCAATTCGTTTTGAGCTTAAATGAGTGACTGGCTTTCATAAAGGAACATCACTAGAAACAAAGCACTATAGTCCATTAACATCTCAAATTTCTAAAGATGAAAGTCAAGATAAATCACAGCAAGATTAATGTATTGCCCGAATTTATAGACCAAAAAGGAAAAAAAAAAAAAAAAAGAACGAACAATGTTCTCTGCAATGCCAGAAAACCCTAAACCCACCGGAGGAATCGACATCAACCTCATTGCCGGAGCTATCCTCACTTTCGTAACCAGAAGAGGTGGAGCAAGGTTCGCCGTCGGCGGCACCGGAAATGCCATAGTCACCTTCGAATTCTTGATCGCCGGCTTCCGCTTCAGCTTCGAAGTCCGCGAAGGAAGACGACGACGACGATGAAGAAGAAGAATCAGAGGCCTCGTTGTTCCTGTCGACATGTTCAAGCTTGTAGAATCTCCGCTTTATCATCTTTGTGGAAAACCTTTCGAAAGAGAGCTCTGCTCTGCTTTTCAATGGAGAAGAAGCCACAGAAAATCGAGAGCTTCCAGAGGGAGAGGGAGAGCCGAGAGGGACCAAACAACACAATGCTGAGCGACGGCGGTCGGCGAGAGACAGAATGAATGGGCTTCTAGTTGTAAAGCCCTTGCATTTTGGATCTAGTGGAGTTAGGTCCAGTAAAAGGCTAATATTGATAAATAATTATGATTTTTATTTTTTATTTTTGATTTATTTTTTAATTAAATATTACACTCATAAAAATGTATTTATCAAAAATAAAAGATAAAACTATAAAAGTTCAGACTCATATACTTTTAAAAGATAAATTTTATAATTTTCTTTATTTTTGAAAAAGGAAAAAGAGACAAATACCTTAGTCCATAAGTCTATATTTTTACCATTTACACTTATTTGTCAAAAAAATATTACTAAAAAATGAATGGTAAAAATCCATACTCATGTACTCTAAAAATAAATTTAGCAATTTTGTACAAGGTCAATTTGTTAATTAAGAGAAAAAGGATATGATTTATTATAGTTTTGTCCAGACTTATTATTTATAAGGAAAATACACAAAATAACATATTTTATTGGTCTTAATGAAGTAAATAGCATAATATTTTTAAATTGATAAATTATAGCATATCTCCAGACTTTCATTTTAAATAAATTTACTTTTTCAATTTTACCCTTTTTTGTTATAGTTTCTTTTATTTTCTTCCACACAACCCCTCAGACGTAGAGGTGTTATGGACGGCCCAGCCTAGCCCGTAACAGTGCCAGGTTCGGCACGGTTCGAAACTGTATTGTTACGGATCATGCCGGTCTGGTACGTTAGACGGACTAGACTGGTCATCAACTTCCCATCCCGCGGCCCAGGCCCAACCTTAGCCCGTTAAGGCTGTAATTCGGCCTAAGCCCGTGTTTGGCCCAAGCCCTGATTCATCCCAAGCCCGTGTTTGGCCCTCCATGCACGCCTCAATGTGACCGTTAGGCCCGTCACGAGCCGACCGTTGGGCACACGATGGGCCCAATGGTCACATTGCGGAAAATCACAAAACAAAAAAACTTTATAAATACCCCTAAATCCCACACAACATCCACCACAACAATTCATTCTCATTCTATCTCTCATCTTGCCTCTTTGATTTTGATTCTAAGTTTTTCTCTCTCGATTCCTCATTTTCTTGCTCTTTCATTTATAAATTTCAATCAATTTGAAGAAATCTTGGAAAAAAAGGTATTTTACTTAGCAATTTTGTTACATAACATTGTATTTCTCAAGTTTATTTATATTGTTTATTGTTTATAAATGAGCGAATTAACATTAAGTTCTGTTTTTTTTTTAGTTTAGAAAATGGCCGCATTAAATTTCTTTGATTTCCCTATGCTCCCCGAGCTTGGTGATGAACTATTTTACAAGGATAAATGTTGATGCACAACTCCAACCCCACTGAACTGAAAATTATTCCGGTTGATAATCAATCTGTGCACAACGAGGAAGTTGGAGAACGTGGCAGGGGAAAAAGACCGCGAACTGCTCCCGCATGGCAACATTTCACAGAGGAGTCCCGGTTAAATCTAAAAACAAGTGAAATAGAAATTCATGCGGTATGTAAATATTGTAAAAAAATATTTTTCTAATAAAAATGGTGGGGCTACTGGCCATCTTGATAGACATTAGAAAGCATGTTTACCGTTGCACTAAGGTGGTAGTGTTGACTCCTGCCAATAAACATTGTCACCCACATCACAAGGTTTGTAAAATTTACATACGATGCACTACGTGTTTGTGAGGCACTAGCTAAATTTTTAGCTAGTGCCGAATTACCTTTGTCTTTTGCAGATGATGCATCGTTTGAAGAATTCATACAAACGGCCTTCTGCCCACAATTTAAATGGGTAAGTAAAAACACAATTCGATCTGATTGCATGAAAGTTTTTTATGCAATGAGACAATCTCTAGTTGATAATTTTAGGTCTTTTAATGCTTTCTTCTTTTATAGATTTTTTTGTCGATTGAATCCTAATAAATCTAAAACTAATTATCATAATAGAATTAGAACTAATTCAAAAAGTAATTGATAATACTAAACTTAAAATAAAATTAAAACAATAAATATAAAAACTATTTTTGAGATAAATCCTAATAATACTAAGGTTTTCTTTTTTTTTAGATCAATTGTGATTTTGACACATCTAGATACACACTTACACGTATCCCTACTCTATAAACCGAAACAAGAATCACTCTTACTCATATCTCTCTTACTTAGAGCAACGAACTGAATCGCAACTCCCATAAATAATTTCGAGAAATCCCCTGATATTATTCCAAACGAAAGAGCCAATCCAATGCCAAAATAACCACTGACTATTGATGATAAGTAGAAAGCTAAAGCCAAGGTATACAAACAACAAACAAAGATTCTAAAAATATACTTAGTAACAAAGATCATGTGAATCAATAATATTAATAATGCACACTTAAAACAAGTTAATAGAGTTAGTAAGGATACCGATTCTACACTGTAGAACCCTATACATATAGATGCAAAAATGACTTTTTTAAAGTAATATTTTCATAACTTGAAAAAAACATAAAATAAAAAATTGACTTGAAATAAAGAGTATTATAGATATAAAATACACTATTTGGGTATCATATGTTAGATACAAGAGGCTTGGCATGTAATTTATTTGAAAAATTGGCAGTTTAAAAGCTGTTCTTTAAAATTTGCATTTGAGTGTATAGATTGCTACTTGTTCAGCTTTTATCCGAAGGGTTTGTGTTTACAATGTATCTTTCAAGTTTTAAAAGCGATCTAATGAACAATTATTGGCCTTGTTTCAAAATGCACACGAATAGTTTTGTGCAATTGTTTGATAACAGGAATATTGCTATTAGGTTACATAAGTTTCCGTGTAAAAACTAATTTTTGAGATTCTTTTCAACTATGTTTTTGTGATGTCCTGTAACTTAATTTATGACAGGTTAGTAAACACTTAAATAAAACTTTGAAATCTAATTCTACGGAATTAAATTCCTCTTTTCCTGAAACTTATCTCCTGTTCTTTAAATTCCTAATTAGTAAACACGCCTTTAAGAGATTTTGAATTTAGTTATCAAATAAATTTTGGTTTCTTTTTTTTTTTTTTCCCTTTCTTTTGAAATAACCATGTTTTGTTTTCTTTTATATATATTTGTGGTTCAAGTGTTCTTTTATCGATGATTGTTTTGAGTTAGCCAATGTAGGAGTTAGAGATTGTGTTTGGATTTTGTACACTCATCCAAGAGACATGGCATCAATAGTCTTTTTTCAACTTTCAACCCTTTATTATCTTTAATTCGTAAACATTATGAAAATGAGATGTTGTTTGCTTCTTTGTCCTCTTGGTATCTTTTAGTTTTTAGATTTCAAGTAAAACTCTAAAAAGTTTTTTACGTCAGCAATAGCTCTTGTAGTAATATTTGATGTACACAATTCATTCTTCTTTTTCCACTCCAGCAAATCGTGAATTCTAATATCCTTAAACTTCAAGTTGTTAATCCTACTAAATCCAACCAAGATGAGTTGTCAAAAAGAATTCAACCAGAACATGACACCTCCAAAAACTTCAAGTTGTTAGGTTCCACAGCTTCATCTAAGAAATGACAATGATACAATTCCATAAAAATGACACCCTAATTTACAAACAACAACATTCCTCAGAATAGACAACACTGACAATACAAATGGAAAAAAGAAGTTTTAAACTGAAAATTTTACACAAAGAGAAAAATAAAAGTCATGAAAGGAAAACTAAATTGTTTAAGATATCCATCGAAGAATTTTCAGAAAAGCAGTTTACAACCTTTCATTCGCAGTTCATAAATTTAACATTATCTTTGCTTCCAACCCCATCAAAGCGACGATTTATAAAAAAAGAAAGGATTACTTCCAAGTTAAACGACCAAAACTTTTGAGAGTCAAATTCACATGTTCATCTCTTTCCTACAATTACTCATCTTTGTTAGCCTTTATACACGGTTTCTTCTAGATTTTCCTTATTTTCATGATAACACGATGAATCAGTATATCTTTTTTTGGTGCAACGGCTGAGAAAGATCAGAAATTGTTAGAAGGGGATTAACATGTGGATGGAAGGATTCATGGGAGTTGAACAATTAGAGGACAAACAGGACTAAATACTGCAGCCAAAAATTTAGACATAGAGATCATAATTTATAGCTTTTTTTTGTTGTTTAAATCCTAATAGAATTAAAAGTAATAATCATAACAGAACTAGAACTAATTTAAAAGGTAAATAAACTCAAAATAAAATTAAAACAATAACTCTATACTAAAAGATAAATCCTAATAATAATCACAGTTTTTTTAAGCTAACATGCCCCAATAATTATAGTGTGCCTTTAAATTGTTCAAGTAATCAAAATAATTGACAAAGTTTGAACTCATCAAGGTATTCCATTAAATTGTTCAAAAAATCAGCTCTACTAATTTATTTCACAACTTGGAAAAAAAAAACTTGAAATAAAAAATTGACTTCATTTATCAAAATGAACAATAAGTATTTAAGTAGAGTAGATTTAAATAAAAAATTAATAAGATAAAATTAGATAATAAATATCTAGAAAATACATTTGAGAAAATAATATTTGATAAGGCAAGAGAAAATAATATTTGACAGAGTGTTGTATCAAAATAGAAAGAGTCAGTTGGCATGCAGAGAGATCATGATTTGGTACATGTTCAATTGTTAGACGATCTCTTCTAGCAACATCTTCACGTTCTTTCAACAATTCCTGAGCTTTGCCACCTTTGTTTGAGGACTAACCGAATGAATACTGCAGCCAAAAATTTAGTGATAGGCGTAAATAATTTATAAGTTTTTTGTTGGTTGAATCCTAATAGATCTAAAACTAATTATTATATAGAATTAGAACTAACTTAAAGAGTAAATGATAATGATAAACCCAAAATAAAATTAAAACAATAAATATATAAACTATTTTAGAGATAAATCCTAATAATCCTAATAATCCTTGAGATAAACTATTTTTTCAGGTTATTGAACATCAAGTCTGATGCTTTCATGATCACTTGAATGTGCTTGTTGAAAGGTTTGTTTTTCGGTCAGTGTC